GCGAGTCCACTTGCTCAAGGCCTCTTGGGCTTGGCTCCGGGTCATGGTCCTCAAATTTGGCTCAGAGTAAATCTCTTTAAAATTACTTTACAGAGTTTGGTCTTTTTTTCCGTTAACACTTTGTTAGGTGTTGCCACTGAGGTCAGCGTGCTGTTACCTGAAGGATGAGGCTCTCTGTGCAGGCTGGAGCACTCCTCCTTCCCTCAGCCAGGCAGGTAACAACTCTGCCTTTCATTTCACTTCTTGCTTGCAGAGAGCCTTGAAGTCAGCTGGAGGTGGGAGTTTAGGACCTTTCCAGGCCTTTCCTAAGCATGCACAGTGCCCTGGGCCTGTACTCATCCCTGCACATGTGTGTGGGTTTCTAGAGTCCCAGAAATTTGCCTTCGCTTTTCATAGCCCCACATAGACATCCCGTTCTCTGGGCTTTCCCTTTTAACCTTTGTGGTTAGTCCATGGTTTGCCCCACTGTTATTCACTGTTATTTACCACATGTAAAGCTAAAAAACATGGCTGTAATTATTTTTAACAAATATCTTTGGGAAAAGACACTTCATACTAGGTGAGGTCTGACTTAAGTCAGACACAAACAAGCTTGAAGCGTGTCTTCTAGGAAGCGCCACACAGGGCAGATCATGACAATTCTCTGAGAACGACGTTTCGAAGATGCTCAGGCCACATTCCGCTTTCTTCAGTTGTTTCCGGTCTACTGGTATTCACCACAAATACAAGATAATAGTTTGCAGCTCATGGGGAAAGCAACTAGAGCAAACCCAAATCCCGCAAAGATTGCTATTTGTGCCAAGATCTGATGTTTTTCTTGAATAAATGCTCCTCAGAATGATGCAAGGCTTTTGGTTAATACCAGAGTCATGAAAAAGTTGATTCTAACAATTTTTGACAATTCTCTTGCTGGTTTTATGTAGGACAGAATTTACAGAGGTCCTCATTCGGATTTTCGCTGATGTCAATCTGTTTCATGAATTTTACATGACACATATGTAATATAATATAGTTTCTAATTTCCCTTGATATCCTCCATTGATTCGTGGGACATTTAGAAGTGTGCATACTTGGGCATTTTCTAGCTATCTTTTTGGTATTCATTTTTAACTGAATTTCATCGTTGTTTGGGTAATATATTTGACTTTCTCTGTTTCTTTCTACATTATTCAGTTGCATTGTGTAGGGTCCTACAGATGTCTACGAGGTCAATTTGTTTTCTTTAACACTTCTGTTCTGGATGCATTTTTTTTTGCAGGAAATTTGTAGTTTATGTCTGTTGTCACAGCATCTTCCTTATGTGAGATTTTTAAGCTTTGTTCTACATTTTTCATTTTTA